ATATATATATACATATAATCATTACTGAAATGCAAATTTATAATTTAGTCTGCCATCTTTAGCCAAAAGTGCGACGAGAATACGAATCATAGAACTTGATAAGCGTTAATCGCCATGTTCAGAAAGATTTAGCATATGGGCAAAACTCTGAATTCAAAAGGCTGATCAAAAAATGTTTTTAAACACAAAAAAAAGAACAGTGAGGAACGCTATTTTGCGCGTTGCGATTAATCGAGCGATTATTTCTTAAAGCGCATCCTAAGTCTCTTGTAACGTCTATCGAGTATCCGACAACACACATTGCTGTACAGTAAACTTAGGTAAATTGTTATTTGAAGAGGTAGAGACAATCTGTATAAAATATTGTATAAATTATACATACGTGTTATCTATCGCTTGTGTATTATATCTCCAATTTAATAAATGGAACACGTATTATGGTAATTGTAGAATTATATTGTATATCTCATAATGCATTCACTTCATTTACCCTCTCCCATCTGTTTATCAATTATTACATATACAATTTTTAGTTTTTTATTGAAACTATTTTAATGATAAATACGTTTCTATTCAATCAGAATTTTTTATAGTTTTGGAGAAAAATAGTTATTTAATACATCGTTTTTCATTTAATTTTAAATAACAAAATTAGAGTAAAACATTGTCGAAACTAGATATTTTAACGCTGACAATATTAAGTAATATTCATAATTAAAATGTTTACGTGTTTTTATTTTATTTCAAATTCTGAAGATTAAATTCTTTTAAAAAAGTATAAAGTCTGAAATATAGCTAATAGAAACATATGGAGTGTATTTATTTGTTGAATTAATGTTGTGCAATAATGTAAATAAAGTAAAAAAAACTTGGGAAAAGGCATAAAATAAAAAAATATGTAATCACTCACCAGGAATTCAAAAGGCTGATCAAAAAATGTTTTTAAACACAAAAAAAAAAAGAACAGCGAGGAACGCTATTTTGCGCGTTGCGATTAATCGAGCGATTATTTCTTAAAGCGCATCCTAAGTCTCTTGTAACGTCTATCGAGTATCCGACAACACACATTGCTGTACAGTAAACTTAGGTAAATTGTTATTTGAAGAGGTAGAGACAATCTGTATAAAATATTGTATAAATTATACATACGTGTTATCTATCGCTTGTGTATTATATCTCCAATTTAATAAATGGAACACGTATTATGGTAATTGTAGAATTATATTGTATATCTCA